AACCAACCAAGAAAAAAAAAACGAAATAATTTTCCATTTATTTTCAATTTAAAATAACATTTCTTCCCTTATAACCAAGCAAACACACATTCATTACATAATTTTAAATATATTTTAAAATATTTAAAGAATAGATTCATTCACTATGTGATACATCATGAAATGCCCTTATATTTCCACGACCGTGGGAACGCAGGATACCACTAGAATTGGGTCTACATTAAGTCTACATATCCCATCAGCATTCTTTTTAGGATTTTTGACATGTGGACATGTTATGGAATATCCAACAATCCTAAAAACACAATGCAGATCAACACGTGCATGCATTACATAAAAAGAAACCATGCACACGAATGACACAAGTAGTGAAAGCAACGCTTCGATATCGACTTCAACAGCATGTCAGCATCATTATGCATTAGATCCACAAAGCAATATGCGTTTATGTCAAACATCATGCATCTTCTGGCCATAATTGACGGTCACAGCAGCTGTCAACGATGCACTTACCCAGTAAGAGGAGTTTGAGCTCTCGTCTCGCATCTCGTTTGTCTCTCCGGAGCTGTTTGTCGATCTCGGCGTTGATTCTTTTGGACTCCTTCGCCTCTTCACTCATGCAACAGGCCATCATGGACTCCAGAGTCATCACCACAGCGTTTGGAGATCCCAACCCTGATCTGACACACTTCTACGACCCGCTTCCCTTTGCAACCGCGTCGAAAGAGGAACAGGATGGATTTGGGGGAATGTTGTTTAAAAATGCAGGATAACTTATGGTAGACGTAACGTTAAATCGATGAAGCAAAAGAGACCCCAGTCTGCTCATACAAACGCATCTATCAAGCAAGGCCAAAGACTGGATGAGATTGGAGGCCAGATGTGAATCTAAAGATCTCCCCTGCTCTCAGACCGACTCGAGCCCTGTTTTTAGAATCTGTAATGACTACCAACCAGAGTCCCGGAGGGACACACTGGCCTGCCACGACATCCGTGCTGTCCTTCGCTGTCTCGCTAAGCTAACCGCCCCAGTGCCCAGACTCACCGCAACACTGTCCATCAGCTGCCCGGATCTCTAGCTAACACACGGCGACAGGTGGCAGAAGACAGCCAGACGCTGCGTGTGCATATAACACTGGCTACGGTGCAAACATTTGATTTTGAGCATCCAAAAGCCGAAAAGTTAATTAGCTAAGCGCACTAACTAGCTTAATTGGGTGGGCTAAGCTGCTAGCTAGCCGGAATCTTTATTTACACTCCACGCGCTGATTTCACCGCTCATTTCTTTGCATCCGACTGGGCTTCAAGAATATTTAAAGTCGAAAAATCGGCATAGGAAAATGACACGGGTGTGGGCTCCTAAAAAAAAAATCGACGGAGTGAAAAAAATTCCAGATGATCGCACCGTCCAGTCCGGTGTGAGTCGCACACAAACCTGGAGCTGCGACAGCTGGAAAATGGAGCGTGAGTGACAGGGCGCCGAGCCAATCGGAGGAAGAAGCGCGCGAGAGGGCGGGGCGTGGAATGAGGCAAGGTTGGTGGAGGAGCGGCTGAGGAGCTCGCAGGGCGTGTCTCGCCACAAACCCTGCTATTCGATTGAATGGACAACGCCCATTCCCAGTCAAACATATCTGGAGAAGTCCTAATCTCTCGATATTTTCATAAAACACCTTTAATAGTTTCATATAATATATAAAATCATATATATTCACATGCAAGGGTTTATTACTAAAACAAAAATCACAGACAAATGGCGCTTCTGTTCCGTTTATAGTTGAAGTGACCTGAGAGATGTTGTTATCATAAACTGTGAGAGAATTAACGTGCAGATTTGCATGTGATTCCTAGCTCTTTATCGACACCGTGTGGAAATTGCTTGGAAGAAGAAAGTCACAAATTGTTATTTTACCTGAAGCTATTTAAAAGTTATTAGTAGCCTACTGATCCTGTTGTTGCTAGTTTTCAGCACTTGAATATTAACTGTACTGTTACGAATTCAGTTGTCATTTACTTTCTTTTAATTTCTATGATACAGCTGTTACTAATAAAATTAAAATGATATATATATATATGCTACTAGTAACACGTTCTACTCCAGTAAATATGAAAATGAAAATATGAACTGATATGAAAATCAGTTGTGAAAATATGAATAGGCACATGCATTAAAGGGATAATTCACCCAAAAATGAAAATTATGTCATTAATTGCTCACCCTCATGTCATTCCAACCCCATAAGACCTTCATTCATCTTCTGAAAATAAATTAAGATTTTTGATGAAATCTGAGAGCTTTCTGACCCTAAATACACAGCAACACAACTACCACGTTCATGCACGCATGTGTCCTGGTACTCTCGTGAACAAGTGGCAAAGACTGACACGGAAGAGAAGAAATTGTTGAATAAAGTTGTTATTTTCATTTTCTTTGCGCACAAAAAGTATTTTTGTAGCTTCTTAAAATTACGGTTGAACCACTGATGTCACGTGGACTATTTTAACGATGTCCTTACTACGTTTCTGGACCTTGAACGTTTCAGTTGCGTTGCTGTCTATGCAGGGTCAGAAAGCTCTCAATTTCATCAAAAATATCTTAATTTGTGTTCCGAAGATGAACGAAGATCTTACAGGTTTGGAACGACATGAGGGTGAGTAAATAACGGCAGAATTTTTTTTTTAGGTGAACTAACCCGTTAAAGTTTTGACCAAAAAAGAAAAAAGAAAGAAAAAAAGATGCAGTTCACTGTATACAATTTTTGACAATGATGCTTATAATAGACTTTTCTGCAATAAAACAAAACCTACTAAAATATTTAAAACACAGTAAACCATTGTTTTGGTCAAAAGAAAACAATTAATGAATTGTTTTGAATTTAATTTTGTGAAATGCAGTGCATTAGTACTGAGACTCACAGGTATGGCAATGAACAACAAAGATACTTGTAACAGTGTAGGCTATGATGGCATTTTAAGGAACAGTTCACTCAAACAAATACTGTCACGATTTTCTATCATCATTTACTCCAAACTAAAGAAAATACAGGTTGAGCATCTGATTCAGAAGTAGACAGCATGAAATATGACAGAAAGGAAGGAGGAAACATTTTAGGGACAAATTCTGGCTTGATGTGAATTCGCTACAGCAGATCAAATAGAAAAGTGGATGAGACAGAGAAGGAAGTGGATCCATTGCTTTGAGGATGTGACATCACTCAATAGCTTCTCTCAGCAAGAACAACCTCGGAAACTCGGGGCTTAAAGAAAATGTAGAGTTTCCCACTCGTAACAACGACTTTGTGGTGGCGTTCATGTGCGTTCAACTCGTAAATACGATCTATCCGACATGACTTGAACGCGCCACAAGTTCTGGAGGAGAATAACAAGGATAGCTTCCCAGACTTCCAACAAATCTTTTCAACAAACATCTCAACAGTTTGATGACCTCTAATGGAAGGAGAAGGAACTGCAGACCACAAGAAAAAATAATAAGAGTTCAGATCAGATCGTCTGAAATTTTCTTCTAAAATGAGCATTTTTCTCAGGCTCCTGTGTGTAGGTTCAGTAAATTCACTTTTATAGCAATTAAAAGGTTATTTTCATTGCCATTAAAGTGAAATAACTGGATATAATCATAGAAGCCTGAGAAAAATGCTCATTTTACACTCTTAAAAATAAAGGTGCTTCACGATGCCATAGAAGAACCTTTTTTTGTCTAAATGGTTCCATAAAGAACCTTTAACATCTGAAGAACCTTTCTGTTTCACATAAGGTTCTTTGTGGCGAAAGAAGGTTCTTCAGATTATAAAAAGGTACGAAAGAGACGGTTCTGCTGTGAAGAACCTTTTAAGCACCTTTATTTTTAAGGCTTTTGCATCTGAACTCTTCAGATATAAATATGGGGGATAGTTATGCCCCAAGGGGTATCTTACCTTGCCCTAAATGTACATTTTAACCAACTTTTCCCACTTTGGATGTCATTTCTTGTGAGAACTTAGTAGGCCTAATTCATTGTCACTGCTTAAAATAGCATAAACTTGGACGATAAAAAAGAGAAAGCTTTGGAGCCATTTGCAGCATCAGATCTGTATTATTACTTTGTCACTTAATACTGTGCAGTTCAGTTATTAATTTTCTTAAAAAGTCAAATACACCCAGTGCTGAGCTTTCTGAAACGATTAGGTCATCAATTATTCCTATACAGGACAGATAACATTCCAGATAACAAATGACTATTTTTACAGCAGTGTAAAGTTATATAAACCTCTATTAGTAAGTGCATTTATTTTCTTTTTGCAGGTTTTCAATGCTGAATATGTGATTATTTTTTCCTTTCATATAGGCATGGCAGAAAGTGGAAAGACAACGTTTATGATGCAGCTGAGAATGATTCATGGAAGCGGATCATCAAGATATTCTCCGTGTCCGATATCCCAGCAGTGGCTTCACAGATTATTGCATTTCTATACAGAAGATCGATCTCAGGTATTTCAATGAACAACCAAAGCTATTACTATGTACAGTATATTTTGCTGGCATTTAAAAGGACGGTTCACCCAAACACTGTCATGATTCTGTCATCATTTACTCGAAACCAAATGTTAGAGGAAATCAAGGTTGAGCCACTATCTGATTCAGAAGTGACAGAAATGAGGGAGGAAGAGATTTTAGGGACAAATCTGGGCCTGATAAAAAATTAACCACACAGCAGATCAAATAGAAAAGTGGAAGAGATGGCTGAACTTGATTTCTGGTCTGTCTGTCTTTTCAGGATTGTAGATGTCGGGGGTCAGAGATCAGAGAGAAGGAAGTGGATCCATTGCTTTGATAATGTGACATCAGTCATATTTGTAGCTTCTCTCAGCGAGTACGACCAAGTTTCGTTGTAGAAAATCAAGACTGTAAGTTTCTGCTTTTCTCCAACCTTCTTTTGTGGCTGCAAGGAAGAGACTAACGAAAAGCAAATAATCTGTTTGTTGTTGTTTTTTTATTACATGCCATTCCAAAATGTTCCTGCAAAATATTTGGGAGTCCAAACACATGATAATATATTTTTTTGCACTGTTTTGACTGTGAGATATAGTACCCATTTCAGTACACCGTGTTGTACACTTCACATATTGGCAAATATGGTCATCAGGGTAAACTTTTAACTATAAAATACTCAGATTACCTACTACATCTCCCACAATGCTGTGTGCTCAGCTGGCATCTTTCTCAACTTGATCAGACTGCAAGTTAAGACATTTTTTCACCATAACCATTTATAACTATTTTACATCTGAGATTGCATATATGTAATATATGGTAGCAGTCCTACTATTTTTTTTTAATGGTATTCAGCAAGCTGTCCACTAGTATTCTCTTCCAAACACAGCCATGCTCTAAATTCTGAATAACATACTAGCATACAGTACTACAGTACTAGCTCTTATATCGGTTTGTCCTCATATGTCTACAGTCCTTCCTGTGTAATGATGATGAATCTGTTCATCTTTGTACTTTTTCTCTCTTCGGCTCCAGAACTGTATGGACGAGAGTTTGTCTCTGTTCAACACGATCATCCACTCAACATGGTTTGCTAATTCCTCCATCATCCTCTACCTGAACAAAATGGACATCCTGGCTGAGAAGATTCAGTTCTCTGATCTAAAAACATACTTTCCTGGATTTGAAGGTAGTCTGCTGCACATTCAAGTTAAAGGCCGAATTATATGTGTGATCTCTAGTTTGACCTCATGATTTGCTCTTCCGTCCCTTTTCTTTGTGGTTTGGCTCCACCTTCAGGCAAGCGTGGGGATGTTCATGATGCCATGCTGTTCGTCAGAAATTTATATACAGAAAAAATATACGAGGAAAAGAACTCAGAAAGCATATACTGTCACTTCATTTGTGCCTCAGACACTACAGAAACCCGTAAACTCTTCAATGATATGAAAGACTTTATCATCATCGAGGGCCTAAACGAGTATAAAATGCTCTGAGCCCCGACGCACCTTCAGTTTCACTCACCATCAGACTATATTGATCTCAAAGCCAATCCATCTGCACTTAAAGACACTACTATTTTACGAAGCCTTTAAATACTATTTTATATTAAAAATGTCTAGGCTTTTGTACTTAAGTGAATATTTCTCAGGGAAAGTTTTTTTTTTTTAAATCTGTTACACTTGCCTAAAAGTCTTGATTAAAAAAACCTGCGATTGTATTTAGGTTTAAAAATTAATTCAAGTTGTGTTCATTTGTGAAGATTATCATGATGAACAAAATGTGTAAGAATCATAAACTTGCTGGTCGCACGTTTTCTGTAATAATCCAAAAGCCAATGGAAAAATCTTTTTTTTTTTTTTTTTTTT